TATGAAGGAGATAGATTGTTGATTTAAAATCACAAAAATAAATTTTAACTTTTTAAAGTTATTCATAATAATTGTATTATGTCATATAACCCTAACAAAACTGATGACCAAATTTCTTGTTAGTCTCAATTGCAGATTCAGAATCTGTAAGCCATGTTTTGTTCCTTGTATTTAGTCCACAAAAGAGAAGACATGGTCCCTGCGGGGTTGAACATAGTGGTGACCATGGAAACTTGGGATATAATGAATTGCGGCATGACTCAGGAGCTCGCCACGAATGTTTTGTGAAGAAAGCTTAGGAAAAGTTAATGCAAAAGATTTAGAGCTTTTCCGGAATAGGTTGGTCCACGAATTCTATTGCTTAAAAGTGGTGATTACTTTGGAACAAGTGGTCGAGTAAAAGAAGAACCTTAATGAGCAAAACTTCGATCAATGGGGCAGATGGAGAGGCTAACTGGTCGGGTGTTGTAAACTTTCATTGTTTCATTTTCAGCAATGAACGAAATGACATGCCATGTTCATCACTTTTTTTGCTCTCTGGCAATGGTGTAATTTCTCTCATACTCGAATCTAGGCCCTTAATTTTCGTGTGTTTATGCACATGTATTCAATCAATTCAGAAACAAATTGTCAAATACCATATATAAAATAAAATATCTTGAAGAATACTTGACTGTCGATAAAGTAGGAAGTCAAAAACTTGTCAGAAGAAAATCCTGCTTCATGTAGATGTAATTGCCTCTTCATTTCTTGAGCAAGCGAGACTTATGAATATATACTTAAAAAATAACTCATAGGTAGCCCCCTTTTTACCACTGATAGTTACCTCCCTTTGTTAAATTGTTCATCATAATGTTACACAGTTTAATGTGATTAGCCTGATTTGAATTAAGCATTGACAGGCCAAACACGACTAATTTATATAATATATAGCTTGTGAGAAGGCAGATTGAGCTTTTGTTAGAGCAATTGACGTGACCGAAGAGTCAGCTTGAACAACAGTGGTTTTTCTTGCTCTCTTTTTGTGTAGTTTATGCAGTGCATGGAGTATTCTACACTGAGCAAATTTTATTTTACCACTTTGAGTGTCACATTTAGAGGTTGAGGTTGCTGGTCTGTTCCATGCAT